AGAAACAAAACCAACTGAAGTCAAAGGAAAGACTTAACGGTTTCAAAGGGCCTTTACTCAGGTCCTAACGGGCAACAATAATGATTGGGAAAATGTAGTTAGATAACGATACAGAGTGGTGTATGGTGACTGTCTTTCAAGCCTTAACTGGTCTGAGAAAGTTACCTGTGTACCTTTTCTAACTTCATAAACCAATATAATAAGACAAGATTGAATACCCTTGTTAATAAATCCTAGGTTCTAATAGCTCATAGAGGTCACAAAATGCATCTAGAGTTTTTTGATGAAAGAAAGTAAACTTGAGTAAATTGGGTTTATTTTTCTGGTGAGCATTCAAATATTGCTCTATTTTTTGTTGTGATTTTGCTTATTTATTTGAGTTCTTTTTGTCCATTGCCTAATGTTTTGACAATAGAGGGTTACGTGAAACAGTTATAAGGATGGTGTCATCCTTTTGACATATCTTTAATTGTATCCAGCATTTTCAGTTTCTGTATACTAAAAATTTTTCAATTTCTTTGTAAAAAACTTTGTAATGTTGTCATGAAATTAAGTTTTTGAATTCCTACATTAATAACATTCATTTACAAACGAACTTTGCTCTCCTGAACCCTAAAAATACACATATTTTGATGTGGGCATGGAATATGATATATTCTTTATAATATAGGATGAATTTATAATCTACTACTCTATGACTCCGATTTTATGAACACTTTCTTAAAGCACTTTGTCTTATTGCATTCTTGAGCCATTTACAAGTTCTACAGCATTGTTAGAGAATTCAGATTATACTGATGGGAGGAAATGTATTACCTTTCAGGTCTGTGAAGTTGATTAATAAACATATGCTGCAGTGAGATTATAATCTTCAGTTTAGGTTTGGGTATTTGTCACAGTGTTTCAGGAAAGACATAATTTTCTGTCAAAATATATAGTGGCTTAGGAAATTTCTGGAGAATCTCTCCACTCTTATCTTTTCATTTTCAATCATATTTTGCATAAAAGATAGGAAATGCAGCGGCTGCTTATAGAGAGCAAGAGGTACTGCTAATTAATAGTAGGTTATATGGAGAACATTGATGTGTAATGATGGTATCCCTATTTATTCTTTATATAACCTTGATTTAGCTTGCTTCGGCATCAAAATACAATACGGGAAGCTTTCTAAGGTTTCTCTGCTTTACTGACTTGCATTCTTCTTTCAAATGTTAACAAATAATTTTTCTCCTCAACATTTAGCTCAACTTTCTATGCTTTTCCTCTGCCGTCTCTGTTAACTTTGCAACTGCATTATTTGACTCTTCCAAAACTTCAGATATAACTTAGAAAGGCAATACACAAAACAACACTCCCACTGCTAAATATAGAGGCAATATATCACTAACATCAACCAAATCTCATTTTATTTGAACAACATAGATCACTTCCTTCTTCTTAACTTTAACCTTCAGACTATAATCCTAGATGTTATTTCACGAGTGCTATCATAAATCCCAGACTATAATCCTAGATGTTATCTCACGAGTGCTATCATAAATCCACATTCTTATGCTAAAATGTCAAGCCTTTTAACTGGTGCACCCACATATGTTCGTTATCCTGATTCTAAAGTTAACTTGGGTGCTATACTAAATTTCAGATACTCAGCTCGATATCTCAGTGTGGTGGGGATCTGGCTGGTTCCCTAGCAATAGGGAGACGTAAAATTTTCCAGCTTGCATTACTTAGTGACTAGGTCTTCACATCCATTCCTTTAGAGCTACTGTAGCCACACTGATCTGTTTTATATGCAGTCACTCACTTCTGCTAACATCCATGTTACTGAATTTGGAAGTTATCACATATTCAAGCATAACAGAGCAATTATTCCAGGGTTATAGACTGAACGGGGCACGTGCAGTAGGGAATGTCTCCTAGCTTTATGGCTATAGTACCATTATTCTGAATGGAGGTGGAGGACCTCAGTAAGCTAGAACTTTCCAAATATCCTTTGAGATGAGATCAGGTGTACCGTACTTCCTAAAGTTCTCAGTTTATACACATGAAGATTTAACATCATGTTCAAACACTGTAAGCTGTATAGAAAGAAAGAGTTACACAGTGCTAGTCCATTTTCTGATAAAGGCTGCTGATTGAGGGATATCTAATTCTTTCAGTTATAATGACTCCCAAGTTCTTGCAACAAGTCTGCTGAACAAAACACTCCAGAAGTGCAATGTTTCCACCTCAGTTACTTTCCCAGAAGACAGCCATTGGTGGTGCAGCTCTGCTGGTTCTGCTCCAGCAGGTGACAATCCCTTGGAGCTTTCTTCTAACTCTGCACCTAGATAGACTTGAACATTACTTCCAACCCTTGCAGTAAATCTCTAGAAAGTGAAGTTGCTTGAGTAGACATAAGGAGTTACAAATTCTATCACTGTGCCATCCACTCCACTATCTGATCACCATTTCAACAATGCAAACATTCAAATGTTGCATATGCCACCTCCATAAATCATCAATTCCAACAGGCTCATTGATTCTATTTAAAATAATTAATTTTTGGAATGTATGTTGCTTGCATTTATGATACAATAGTCTACCTAACTAAGGCAATAAAGATTTCTACCTAGGTGTGCATATATTATTTCTATCTCAAGGAACAAGAGTGTTTTAAAAGGACAGACAACTCAATTTAAAAAGAAAACAATAAAAAGACTTTTTAGTTCAGTGTCTTGGAGATAGAGTTAGGATTATTTTCACGTAATTCTGTAAAATAATATATTTTACTATTTTAAATATTGAAAGATACAATGCACCAATTTCTTTTAAAGATTAAGCTGCTCTATAGATGAGATCAGCTTGGAAAAAAACTCTTAGAAAGGTTTTAACAGAAGTTTTTCAGCTCCTGTAACATGTATTTTTATGTGTTACTTACTCTTTGTTTTAACAATTAATACTTGTTTTTCTTCCTATTACAAAGAAAAGTAATCAGTATGCAAATTCATCTAAATAAAACATGTTTGTCTGGTGACTTGGTGTCTTGGAATTACCAGTAACATAAGTGACTTTCTGTGCTTTCTGATGATGTCTGTAAATTTTCAGGACCTCGGGATTATGGCTGACCTGGCTGTTTGGTGGATGTGCGGAATACATCATGTAAGACCTAATGATGACTGCTAATTAGAATAACCAAATTCCCTGGTTGCTCTTTCATAAATTAGGAAGAAGATGGATTTTTTATTAAGAAGATACAGTTGATTAACCGTAAAACTTCTTCAGAAATTGAGATGAAATATACTTTTTAGTTAAGATAGACTACTACATGCAGTCATGGAAATTTTTGATACTAATCTTCTGAGAGTCACTAGAACTCATATTTGCATAAACAGTTGCATGCACTGACTTATTATCCTATTTTTTTCGAAATAATTCTCTTATAAGAATATGTTACAACGTATCATTTTTCTGACTTGTTCTGTACCTCTTTTGTTCTACACAAATAGCAGCTGTTAAAGGGGACTTTGAGACAATGATATTAGAGGACACTGTTCTGCTATAAAACAGTATTTACTGGAGTACATCCTCAAAGAGTTTACATCAGTTACCCTCATACAAAAATCTCATCCACAAGTGAGAAATTTATTTTACATACTTTTCTCTCTAACTTACACTTACACTCACTTGAGTGTAAACTCACTTACATCAAGTGCAGTTTGCTCACAGTTTTGTGTAGATAATCACATTAGTAAGGCATATGATATTTTCCTGCAATACTTATATAATAAAATTCTTAATGTACAACAATGTGTAACCATGGTCATACCAGTATGAAAGCATATTTACACCCAAAGTGTGTATTCTTCCTATCTGTATAGAAGTACAATATGCTGACTAAAGCACATTTATATGACTATACAAACTATACGTAAATGGAAGCTTTTTACTATAGTGGTATACTCAAAATGATGTAAAGGTAAGGTGAAGACAAATCCTAAAGCCATGTTATATCATTTTGGCCTGTAGAGAGGCTATACCACATAAATCAAATCAATTTATAAAGGTTCTTAAGGCAAAGGCAAAATTAAGCCCTTTTTATCTTGTTATATAACGCAGCTTGTGCCTTTTAAGTAAATGTTGAGTACACTGATAGTTGGAAGACTTTAAATCAATCAGGACACAATCACAGGAAAAGATATCACAGTAACAAACGTGTCTGGTGTAATACCATAGGTTTTGTTTATTAACTGTTATCTAGTTTAACAACCATGAGACTACAAGAGAATCTGTGCATTTTGTATTGTGATTAGGTCAACCCTTCCGGGTGGGTGGACAAAGTCTTATCTGAGTTGGAGTTTGATGTTTCCATCAGTGATATTTGTCTTCAGTCCAAAATCGCACACACAATCTGAAGTCCATGTAACAAGGTTATTCAAAATACAGCTTTATCTTTAAATATCTTTAACAGAAAAATGCAGAAAGTTATGCCTTGATCCATGCCATTGGATGGTAATGTTACTAATATGTATGCTGTTCTAAAGTATAACACAGAAATAGCTCCTAAGCAAAAGAATATATAACAAACTCCCTGTTTCTCTATCGATACTTTTGTCATACAAAGAAATGATGCACATTTTGAAAAACAACAGGTAAGCTAGTATTTGTATTTTTCTATGTCATGGGACTTGTTTGCCTCTGAAATTTAGATATGCTTTTAATAAACATGAGCTCTTGTTTTCTCCAAGGACCAGTTATAAAGTATACAATCTTAATATTTCCCATTAAGATGCTGCACTACAGGACTTCTTTCATTAAGCTAAAAGGTAACATACGATATAAAAGCAAATGCTTTGATTTGCATTATGCCATAATCATGTTCCTGTTAGGCAAGGAAACATAGCTGGAAATAATTGTTTTTTTAAAACCTCTAGCTGAACATGTTCCCATGTGTCAGTAAAAACAAATGCACATATAAAATGTGAATTAAGAAAAAAACCCTGAGATGTGGTAGAGCTTACCTGAACACTTCTTAGCAGATCTGCTGCTTAGCTGTCCAAAGCCTGTGAGTCCCTGAAATAGTGAGACAGAATAAACTCAATGTAACCATCATGTAGCCTACTAAATTCACTTTAACATTTCAGATTCAAATGATAAAACATATGCTTCATAAAGTATTCAAAAAGAGTTAGCATGCAACTCCAGCTGGAAGAGATTTTGTTCACAAACTGAACAGTAATAGGCCTCTAGTTATTCTCATCAAAAAAGTAAACCAATCACATTGACAAAAAGCCACTGTAAACAAAAAAACTGTATTTAAAGGATTAACAGTTTTGGTATCCCTGCCATCAAGTCTTCTGTTCTTTCTTCATCAAAATTGAGGTTATATATTTGTTGTTAGCAAGAGTTGCATTACTGTTATTGTTAATTTTAGTTCTGTTTATTACCTTGAGGGTTATGTATTGTAGAATAATTCTGTTGTCACTAGTTAATGTTAATTAGTTGTTTTAATAGCCTATATACCTATTTGTTATCTTTTGGTAGGTTTACTTTTTTAACTATCAGTAACTTAATAACTGAGAATATTTAACATTACTGTTGCATACTCAAAATTACAGAGTTACTATTAGTGTTACCTGTTTAACGTTTAGTCATCCTTTGAGTCCTGCGACATATTTCCTTAATAATCATCAGCCATCAATCTGATAGTCTCAAAAGAAATATCAGCCCTCTAAACTGCCTTCAAGGGCGGTGATATTTAGCACTGAAAATTACAAATAAAGTTTTTGAAGTTGAGTACCAACAAGTGGGCAGTGACACTGATGACTTGTTTATCAAGACAAATTGTTATATACTACGAAAATGCAGTCAACGCACTCCTCTGAGTGAAAACAAATATGTGAATCTATGCAATGCTTACATGTTGAATGGGATATTTAATGTGCGGGGAAACTCAAAGGTTGAAGAACTAGCATTTAGACAGTCTAACAGTGGTAAGTGGTAATCTTACCTCTTTAAACTCCATTACATTCTCACGAGAGACATGCTAATACAAACAAGTCAATCAGAGTTTGTGTTTAGCAAGATCAAGCTTAGAGGATAGTTTAAAATCCATTTATTGTTCTAAAGCATTTTTTTCCATTAACATGTTATACATTAGTGGATACTAACCATGACTCATGTAACAGTTTAGTTTGTTAACTTTTAAATTATTTAACAACCAGAAGTTATTAATACAACTTTTAAAGTCTTACACAAAAAATCTTAAAACAGGCTTGGGTTCATTTTTGTAATTTTTATATATAAAACATTTTAGGCATCTCTTGAAAAAGAAATAAAGCAGGCATTTAAAGCTAGAAAACAAGTAATTCCAAATTTAGTTTGTTACAAAAGGTTTCAGCTTTATTGACAAATTATGGCAAACATATTTGACAAAATTATGGTTTCCTATTTAGAGAAGCTTACACATGGAACTTTATGTGATTTTTTTTTTAACAAATACAGGTTAAAACACTGAACAAATTCAGTTAGCTACATACATACAGTAGCTGCTTGTTTTCAACCCCATTAAAACAGCATTTAAAATTAAATTTACAAACTTAATATCGAACATCTTAATCTGAACTAACATATATTAAAAAAGACAGGTTAAAACATCTTATCTACAGCTTGATTATTGTCTGGTTCAAATAAAAAGAGGAAAAAAAAAAAGAATCATATTACAGTCTTTTAGCAACCCTAAACAAAAACTCCGTCTTAGCTAGTATGTAGAGAGACTCAAGATCTGTAACAGTGTCATGCTTTTTAAGTTACACACAGCAATGAATACAACCAACAAAACATCATCTTTGAATGGTTTATAGACAGTGCTTGCCAAAGATTTTTTGTTTTTGTTTTTTAAGTCCGTGTTATAAAATAATACTAATGCCAATGTCACTCCAATGTTATAGGAAATACAGGTAGTACATAGGATAATAATGAGCAGTAATTCCTAGGATAGAAAAGAAATGGACTATTACTTGTCTTGTTGCTGTTTATGTGGAGACCACAGGCTATTAATTGTCTTTGTGATGAGGTCACAGATGAGGAAGACCTTCAATATCTACCATAGGGGTGTTCCCTGTAACCCCCTCTGGCTGACCTTGGAGGTGGTGCCTTTAGGCTGGAACGGGTTGTGGCCCATTCTTCTTGTGCTAAAAACAGAAGAAGAAAACATATGTTTTGTAAATGTCTCAACTTGAAAGAACAAAGTGATCTCACCACTAATGACCGTAAAAATTCTAGAGGGTTTTGGCTGAAAGCTTAACAAATGAGATGATGTTATGATCCGTTTCTTTATCCTTCCCAAAAAACTTACAGAGAACTATCCTTTTGCTTTTCTACACTGACAACTTGTCTAGCTCTGAATGAAAAAAATTTTTTTTCTTCTTCACTTTCAGCCGAGATCTAGTTTAGCGGTAGTACAGGCAGCTCTGGAAAAATCACTGCACTAGTCTGCCAGTTCAGAATTTATTCTGTATTTTGGGCTTCTAGCATTTAAGCTAAAGCACCAATGTGAATAGCATTTAATGCAGCTGCTATGTTAATAAGATCAGGAATTGAATCATAAAAGGATAATTGAAATATATTTGATTTTCTATTTCAATTTGAGGCAAAAGAAAGAAACTAATGGAAGAAAAAGAATACGTAGAAATGAAGCTACTACATTAAGCAAATAGTTTTGCCAAATAGCTTTTACTCTGCATTTTATTTAGAATACATTTTTTTAATTTGTGTTAATGAAATATGTTGAAAAGAATACATTAAAAATCATAAGACTCATTCAGTTTGTGCAGAGATTTTACAGATAAGATATTTATGGAAGTTAAGCCTTCCAAAGGAGCAAACAGGAGGCTACGTAGAGGAGTAGCCTAGTGGCTGAAGCCAGACCCCCCAAACTTGAACTCTGTCCTAAATCAGCTAGTAGACTACGAAGTAGCTTCTCTCCTTTTGTCTGCTGGTGACATTCAACTGATCACACACAGAGTGATTAAAGTGGTAATGCAAAAGTTGCACTATATCATCCAACTTAGGTCACATCTCAACGCAACATCCAACCTATCAGTCCTACAATACGTCTGACATACATACACACGTTCATCAGTCAGCTTCAAAATCTCAACATATCCCACACGAAGTTATCTGATAATCTACCAAAATTTTTAATGAAACATAGAAGGTATCATAGAAATTTCAGTGTGGCAAATGTTAGTTATTTTTAACATTGTTTCATTTTATTGGTGATCAATATGTTTGCATTACAAATATGTGTAGAAGATTAACGCTTATAAAATCTAGTTGTAGGAGTCAAGCCTTGTGACGCTGCGAAAAAAAAAAGAATGTTTTTTAATGTGCGTAAAAACAGACTGGAAAGAGGAGTTTAAAAGGTTTGAAGGTGTCTGGGAGATGATGAGAAAAGGAAGGAAAGCTGTAAATTGATGATATAAGACTACTTGGTATTGATATCAAAATAAAATTAATTTATTACTATATTAAAATAGCTCATTTTCGCTACGCCTACAGTGGTGGAGATTTTACTTCATTTGTAAGATAGATAACAGACTAATATACCAAACTATCCAGTCTTGGACCTGTGATGAACACTTGAAATATGTGAGGTACTTGTACTCATAAATTTAAAAATCCAAATGTGTCCACCTTTTAAGGGGCAATTACCTATGTGCACTCCGTTTTAGGGCAAAGAAAAAAGGTAGGTTCAAAACACCACTGAAGGTAAATTAATGTTTCACCTTCTGCTGAAATTGCAAGAAATGCTCACGCATTCAGTTACAGCGGAAAGGTGGATTCACAAAACACTGTCTCAGCTGCGAGGTGGTCAGTGATCGCATTAGTGTAAACAGTCTTATTTTTTAATTCAACGTAACAAACGTCTACCTGAGACAGTGCTCAGTCAGACGCCATATCTTAGCTGAGAGGCAATAGCAAACACCTAAGAGGTTACAGAATGAAACAAATTCTGGCAAATCCTTAATATGGCAACCACTAGTGTTTTCCCAATGCTTTAGAAAGGAGAGTGTGATATTGGTATTGGTGATGGGAGATATTGCCAACAATGAAACACCATTTTTTTTCCAAATTATCACAAGGCAGAACATGGCTGATGTTACCTAGTGGTTGCCTGGGCACAGACTATTTCATAAACTAGAGGCAGAGTGAATTTTGAGTGTGACCAGTTAGTAGTGCTGTTTGATCAAAGACCAGATCCAGGCCAATGGCCTGAACAGCAATGTAGGCACACACCATTTTTTGCATGTTTGCATTATTTTCAACTGTGAATGGGCCTAAATGCATGTAGTAGTAAGATGCTTATCTTCTGCCTTTTATCTTCTAATGAGCTTCATCTGCTCCTTCTGTATAGATGCTACTGGCCCACCACTCCTTGCAGACAGTCCCTCACTGCAATCACGGATATTTCCCAAAGTCACAAGGCGCAAATTTACCCCTCAAACCTTATCAGACTGTGCAAAGACAGTTTATAGTTTTCTCATACAGATTTCTTTCCAGTCTTGGTCAGCCATTACTAACGTACAGATTATTATGCTAGTGCAAGTAAAATATTATATATCCATTGATCTTATTGTCCGAACTGGTTTTAAAAAGGAAAAAAAAAAAGCATTGCTGATGCTCATAAAAAATTAATTCTTCCTGGCCATCTCTGCAGTATGAAAGTCACCACTGTCTGTTATACGTATCATTTGACTTTCAGAAATTCTTCCTCTATACTATACGAAATCCAGCATATATGCATCTTTTTTTTTAGGAAAAAACAATATCCCCCTTAGAAAATCAGAATACCTATCATTTTCTTACCTGACTAATTGGTGTATCTAATCTTGCTACAGATCTACAACCACAAAAAGTGGGTTATATACCAGTGACTCCAAGAGTGAGCAGAGGCAACAGAAAAAAATTTTACTGAACTGAAGCATTTAAGTTAATGAAAGTGGGTATGATTTTGTTGTGGTACCAAGTTTTTGCTAATCACTGCTGACTTTTGCAGTCCAGTAAGGAAATAATTAGCTGGCTCTAGACTAAAATACTGAATGGTTAAAACCGGTATCAAAGACGGCTTTTGTAAAAAAGGAAAGAACGCTCTATGAAAATAGAAAAATGAAAGTATAAAACATAAAAAGCATGTTAAAATTTTGGAAGCTATTTCTTTCTTCTCTGGAAAATGTCTTCATTTCAGCTACATCTCATTATCTCATTGCCTTAGGAGAGGCTGGGGGTGTGCCTGGACAAGATCAGCAGCAGAACTGAAGTGAGGCTTAGGCTGGTACGTATTTGGAGTAGATGTCCCAGAAGAAGAGTTGGTGGAAGCTGCTCTTGATATGGAACCAGAGACATTTCTATTGCAATTTTTTGGGGCATTCCACTTATTTTCTTTTTCCTTGAGTTTGTCAGAATGTTCTCTTTTTGAATAGTAGGGTTTTTTACGGTCAAACGAAACCAAAGTTTACTGTGGAAAGCTATTGCCTAGGGGGCTGAAGAAGTGGCAGCCAATATGATATAGTCCTAAATCCTCAGGTCTCCCATCCCTACAGGGAATCACTTTCCACACAATGAATTTAAAAAACTAGCCTCTGCAGTATGTTTCATTACACCCTTTAAAAATGGCATTTTGCTGTAAATGTGCTGCAGCTTCAATTACCCCTTGCTGAAGTGTTACTGTATTTGCAAAGAGGCCTTGGGGAGAAGTAAGATTTAGATAAAAAAAAGAGAAGCTTTATTTATATTAATGAAAATGACTGAAGTAGTAAAAAAACTCACTAAATATGCAACACAAAGACAAAACAATTTGTTTCTTTAGAGTCTCCTCCCCTAATTCCTGACTGATTTGCCTTCATATAAAGGAGAAATGCAAGGTCTTTCTGTCAGTACTCATATAGTAAAAAATAGCATTGTTTTACGAATTTGAAGAAGCTATTTTTCCTCAGCTAACGGTGTTCTTAAGGTAAATTTCTGCTGTGGCTGTAGCAGCTTCTAACATTGAACAAAAACAGAAACCATAATTTGTGGAATAAGTCTATTAGACTCTTTGTTTCATTAGCATGGTGGACCTATGTGGTTGATTCCTAATGTTAACATGGAAGGATGATGCTCAAAACTTATTTATATCTATTTGGTAATACCATCATCAAAATATGAGAGGATGTTTAATAGCTAGCAGATATTCCTGACATGGCATGATAGACTTTATGGTATTTACAGGTGAATTTGTAGCCAAAACATAGAAAAAAGGTTTGAGATTACAGCCTCCAGCTGTGAAAACCCTGGTCTCTACCACTCAAATTGCAGTGAAGGCTTATATCTCTACTGTGGAGAAAGCCAGATGCTACGAAGCAACACTGTGAACAGTCTCTGAACCATACCATGCCAATATATTGGCATCAGAATGCTGCCCCACCAAAAAAGAAATCAGTTTATTAATGTTTTTATAATGGACTTAATATAATGATTTATAATTTATTTATAATATAGATAGAAGATTAATATATCTGCATGCTAGGTAACTAAATGTTCCTTGAAGTGCAGACAAAGTTGATCTTTCACATCTCAGTTCCAGGATTCTAAGGTTACCTTCTTTTTCCTTTCAGCATCAGTCAGGCCTCCTGACAATGGAAAGCTCCATCTTCAGCCATAGTCTTAAAGGCTGGAACCCATGTAGACTATTGAGTAGATTTGGTCAGATTGTTACCTTTCTACACATGCACACAGAAGGCCTTCAGCCATTTGGGTGCCTAAAATGAGTTTCATTAAGTCCCAATATCATTATATTATATTTTATGCCATGTAAGACAGGCTAAAATTAAGTAATTCCTGTATGCTGACATTGCTATTTTAGACCTCAGTTCTTCTTCAGTTGGTGCCTAAGTACTGTATTAAATGTGGACTAAATTTTCATATATAATGCATGTTAAGTAGTTCATGCATGGCAGAATCAGAATGAAAGCTAAAATTTATTTCTTGGTAGAAATTTCTTTCTACAAGTTTCAGCTGGTAGTTTTGCATCTGCCATTTAGGAAGGAAATAGTGCAAAACCATTTCAGTCTTGTATCAGCAAATTAGATTGTAATTAGCAGTCTTAAGGATGTTGAACACATATACAATTAGCAGCATAGTTGCAAGGGGC